AATCGGGTCGTCACCAGGATCTCGAAGGGACAAGCAACGGGCAGCGGGGGGGACGCAGAGGATCTCGAAGGGATAGGCAACGGGCCGCGGGGGGACACAACAGGGACGATCATGTGGGGGGCCGTATGCCTCAGCTCGGCGGTCCGCACCGGACACGTCGGCCAGGCCTCCAACTTCCGAGAACGAGCTGCGGCCACCACTGCTGTGACGTCCCTGCAAGCAAACAGGCGCGCAGCGGCTGCCAGCACCTTGGCACGAGCACGGCAAATGAATGCCACGCCCCCGCCGCGGATAAGCAGCCCCAACGCGCCCGAGGGTTTGGAGCGGGTCCCGGGAACAGTGGCCGGAATCGGGTCGTCGCCGGCCAGAAAAAGGGTCATCGATGCCGGCAATACTTCGGGCCACGAGGCCCCCCCCACCTTAGATCGATAGTAGCAGCAGCCCACAAATCCCCCACGGCAGGCCTATGGGCGCTAGGCCAGCGCACCCCATGGCCACTGCTTGACCGCTTTTTATGATCGGCTTATTTTAACTCGCAAGTACACGAGTGTGCGATGTAGTAATTAACTCGGTAAGATCGAGGTCATATCCACAGAGAGCTAGATCTGGAAATTAAGCTAAGTAACAAAAAAAAACTCAAGAGAAATTAAATTAACAATAACTTGGTTGAAAATAATTGATGGATTTTTGTTCAAAGATAAAAAAAAAAAATGTAAATAGATTTTAAATGACAAGAAAAGTAAGTCTTGGTCCAAATCAATTTTAATGGTGATGTATTGGTGATTTCTTCAACATATATAAGATAACTCAACCTAATATCAACGATGGTGATATTAGATCGGAAGATATTACAATGAAGATTAGAAAGATGAAGATTGATTATTGCTTAAGAATGAACAAGTACTTTCATATTAAGTAAGACATTGAATCAAGCAATGTCTATACCAAAACTAAAGTTTGTGCATAAAAATTCAAGATTATAACATTACCTAAATGATTTCTAAAATTTCTTTACAATAATAAATCATTAATGAAGAAAATAAGAAGATAAACATTAAGATTCATTCATATCCTAAAGAACTCACCTCAATCACCATTATCCTTGATTTGGATCCAAGAAAGAGTTTAGCCAACCATGATTATATATAAGAACACTTCAATAAACATGAAAGAACTTGAATCCAACTGAAAAAATAAGTTTTACAAACTAAAGAACCGAAATCTATAAAGAAGAACACAATACAATTTCAGAAAAAATTCGGACACAAATCTGACTCTAACTTTGGACAGAAATTCGACCCTCTTAGAAGCTTTTTTTGGAGAAGTCTATTAGAGACATATGTATAGGCAATTCTGTCACCTTTCCAGATCATTAAAGAACAGCTCATTGGGACACCTGAGTCAAAAGTTATGGGCAAAACACCGAAAGGTGTTCTGAAAAATCAAATCAAGACAGCTTTACAACTACTTTGGTGCACGTTTTTCTTCCTCATTTATGAGGTGTCTCCTTCTTCTTTTTGACCCAAAATAATGTTAAAATATCCCCTCCAGCTTTCCATCCATGTGCTTGCCTTCTTGGATCAATGGATTCCCCAAAATAAATCAATTGTTATTTGTTGTGTGGACATGTAAGATCATGGATTGTGTTTGGGTTGATTTGAAGGTTGATTTGGGGTTGATTTAGGGCTGATTTGGGGCTGATTTTTGGGCTGAATTTGAGCATCAAATAAGTATACAAATGTACTTATTATTTGGGCTAAGATTGACATTGAAACCTTGAGTGTTTAATGGTTGAAGTTTGCACACAACATAAGGCAAGTTTGGGCTTGAAATAAATCATATGATATTCTTTTCTAGAATTGGAATAGAATTGATTTTTGGGACAAATTTGGAGCACTTATTTGAACCAAGATTTGCTTCAATCTTCAACTAAATGTCTCTTCAATTCTTTGTTCTGAATTCCGATGTTGAATTTTCTGAATTAATTCATTTAAGCTCCAAAAACCTATCGAAACATTAAAACAAACTTCATTACTAAAAAACACATCAATTATTATAAAAACAACCAAATAAAAACAATAAATACATATGTAAAACAAGAGACTTAATGACACTTTTGATGCACAATTAGCCAGTCAGGGGGCACCCCCCTAAAGAGCTATAAGTGTTATTGCAGCTCTGGCAGGGGGAGACACTACTAGGTCCCAGTTGTCACCCCCCCTCTAAAAAATTCATTTCTTGGTATTTTGAGCTGAAATTTTGCACAGAGGTTGGAAAAAATCCAATCCAACTTTATTAATTTTTCCATAATTTTTCAAGGTCAGGAAGTATTTTGTTTAATTTCCCGACCATTAAAAATCGAGGAAATCCGCAAAAATAGGAACCGGCCCGGAATGACCCCAAATTTGGTGGGCAGCCTCAGAAAAATATGTCTGATTTTACTGGATAGATTTCATGTGGAAAGCATGACGTTTTCTTGGTGGAATGCGGGAACCCCGGCAGCTCGCCTGCCGCGGCCAGTGGCGTCGGGCTGGCCCCAGCACTGCCTAGCCTCTCTCCCGCTGGGGGCAGGCCCGAACGCGGAGCGCCTAGCCTCTCTCCCGAAGGGGGCAGGCCAGAACGCCCTCTGCCAAGCCTCTCTCCCGCAGGGAGCAGGCCAGAACGCCTTGTGCCAAGCCTCTCTCCCGCGGGGAGGGCAGCACGCCAACAGGGGCAGTCCACGCGACGCGCCGCTCCTGGCCTCTCCCCCGCAGGGGGCAGGCCAGAACGCAGGGCGCCCGGGCCCGAAGGTAGCCCCCTGCGGGGAAGGCAGCACGCCAGCAGGGGCTGTCGCCGCAGCGCCGCGTGGGCTGACATGGCCGCGCGGGCTACGGGGACGCCGGCACGTGCCCAAGTGCCCCAGTGCCCCAGGGCCCCAGGCCGTCAGGCCCCAGCGCCCAGCGCGGACACGGGAGCGGGCGGGCGCGCGTGGTGGTTTTTTAAAGGGTCATCGATGCCATCGGGCCATGAGGCCCCTCACCTTAGTCCGACAGCGGCAGTAGCCCGCAAATCCCCCGCGGCAGGCCAGCGCTCCCCATGGCCAGTCGGGGGGCACCCCCGTAAAGAGCTATGAGTGTTATTTCAGCTCTGGCAGGAGGAGACACTACTAGGTCCTAGTTTTCACCCCCCCCTCTAAAAAATTCATTTCTTGGTATTTTGAGCTGAAAGTTTGCACAGAGGTTGGCAAAAATCCAATCCAACGTTATTAATTTTTCCAGAATTTTTCAAGGTGGGGAAGTATTTGTTTTAATTTCCCGACCATTAAAAATCGAGGAAATCCGCAAAAATAGGAACCGACCTGGAATGCCCCCAAATTTGGTGGGCAGCCTCAGAAACATATGGCTGATTTTACTGGATAGATTTCATGTGGAAAGCACAACCCATGACTTGCCAAGTTCGGACCCAAGCCGTTGCGCGCTGCCGAATTGGCATGTGCGTGGAGGGTGCCGTTGTCCGTGGCACACCTCGTTTTCATCAGCTTGACACCTTGAAGAATTTTCCCGCCTGGCCTGGCCGGCATGGCGTCAAACAGTCTGCGCTGCCGATTTTTCCCGACATGCCTGCAGCTGCACAAATCTGCGCTGCCGATTTTTCAATCCGGTGGCATGGCTGCCACCGCCCCAGTTTCTGGACCAGCCCTCATCTTCGTCGAGCCTTGCCAGTCAAGCCTCGCCGTCCGCAGCCAATTCGGTCGACTTGGCCGATTTCATCAGGGCTGCCGATTTTTGCTGACATGCCTGCGCTGCCGATTTTTCCAACAGGTGGCATGGCTGCCACCGCCCCAGTTTCAGGACCAGCCCTCTTTTTCCTCAAGCCTTGGGTGGCCAGACTCGCCCTC